TCGGCTGCCTTTTCCTACCATGTCCTTTAGTTCCAGTTGTTATCATAAAGCAAACAGAATTCTACAACCTGACAGTCTGGCGGTCGTATTCCACGAGGTAACCATGTGCCTGCGGCGAGGTGGTACAGGGTCAACGATTTGCGCGTGAATTCGATCGTAGTAAGAGTAGGCTTGTGATGTATATACCACATACTCTTCCCCTTCCCCCACCTTGGCCCGGTATCGTGACCAGGTCAAACAAACCAGCGGTAAGAAAAAGCGCAGGTTGCTGGTGCGGCCGGAGCCGTCCCTAAGCGTGCCGTCACACCTGGCTCGGATCCTATGAAGTGAAAGTGCCATAGAGTCCATACTAAGAGGCGACCGTTGCAGCCGGACTTCTAGTCCCTCACATAGCCACTCCACATGTACTGGGCTGGCTGAAGTTATTGTTGACAGTCTCACTTATCTACCGGACGTGAAAGGTCGCCCGGGTGTATTACAAATCAACCCAGCTTAAGTTTAGAACGCGCGAAAGCTCATATTCCTATCTGTTATGCTTGTTGTAATAATAGGATGCATGTCAGCTATTGATACAGTTATGGGATTTTATTATTAGAATATACTATCCGCTGGTCCTAGTAAGTAGGATTAATAGACTGAGCACTCTTAGCAGTGACATATTACATCTATCAGCAGTATCCTAGCCCAAACTTAGTAAAATGCGACACAGTTTCTGGTGGACAGAAATGAGGGAGCGGAAACCAACGAAAGCCCTGATGTGCTCCGGGCCTCAAACATGTGGTTACTCGGAATAGCATAAACCCAGGTTTACACGCCCTGCTGTGATCAAGGGGATATGAGTAGACGTTCTGCTCAGAACCCCAAACGTGTACTTACTCGGAATACTATGAGCCCCAGCGATGACTTTAATCTGTGTCACCTCAGACAAATGGTAGCGTCAGTGAGTATAAGTACTGCTAACGCGCTGCTACCTAGTATGTAGGAGGATCCGTCTCGGTCTTATTGAGCTTGTCTTTGACGCATATTGAAGGTGAGTGAGGGTTAATAGTGCGGTACTACCCGCGCCAAATCTACCGTCTCCTAACACTAATTTAGGCGGTGTTTCTGGCTTGCATTGGAGAAATCGGCCAACGCCAAGTCCTGTTTGGTCTTCTTGACCTCGAGCGAATGTGAAGAGTGCGGTTGGCGCCAAATACGTCCGCTATCACTATAAATTACCCCCTGAGACCGTCACCTGTACCAACCTGTTAGTGTACTTGGTGGACCTCATCGATGGTCGAGCACACACACTGGTCTGGCTGTGTGTTCCGAGTAGTGGTTGTACTCACAGCACTGCGACGCTCGGTTGAATCTCAGGTTATTTACAAAAAGCAGAAGTCACAAGAATGGGGGGTTTTATTGTTCACAGAACTCCCAGTGAGCAGTGATGCAGTCAACGTCAAAACTGATGCCGGCTCAACCCGCCCGAGGTGAATGCCGTTACAAGTACAAGTACAGTGAGCACTGACTGCGGGCAAAGCCAGGGCTACTTCTAACTGCGTCCAACCAAGCTTAAGAGAACGTGACCATGTGTATTTAACTCATGGTGCCAACTGTTTTTACATTATTCTGAAGCGAGTACAGGCGTTGTGCGATTGGTGTGCTGCATTGCTCGAGAGGGTGTCAGGCATAGATGCTTCTGCTGTATCAGTCGAGGGGTGGTGGTTTCAAGTGACCCTTTGGCAGCCGGGACTATTTGGGCGTGGATGCGTGCTGGGAAGTTACTTAAAGGTCTTCCGGTCAGTGAGTCTGAAAACGTATGTTTATGAAGTTGCATGCCGTTGAGGCAGCGGAGGGGGGGCAGCATTTTCGGCCGTCCGCCACAGCTCCCTGCCAGATGCAGAACAAGGTGAATATGTCGAACGTGAGCGAACGATTAACTGAGGGAGATGATCCAGTGCACATGCAGGCTGAAGAGCGTTTGTCGTGTGTGACAGTAGTTGCTCATGTTGGAAGCAAGGGTTATGTTTGTGATCTGTGTTGGGGTGCAGGTTTTGCGCGACCTTTACAACGTGTGCCAGTGAGTTTGCACGTTGGTAGGAGAAAAGAATATTTCGGATACAAGGTATATATTAGTGAAAGCTGGGTCGGACGAGTGTTTCAGTGAATTAGGCTCACTATCGTCCAGACAATTAGGATAGGGTGGTGTGTCAAATTGTAAAAATTCATCGATGCATGTGCGGTAACATGATAAGTGCATGAAAAATAACTCAAGTACACACGGGAGATGTGATATTATTGCAGCACATTTTGACGAATGATCCAAATAGATTGATTGAGGGTCGACCTGGACTTTTACGGTCGAGTTTTGTTGGAAGACGTCAATCTGGATTCGCGAAAGAGCGTCGGCAACCGCGTTTCTCAATCCGTGGACATGATAAGTGACGGAGGGAAAACAGTAGTCGACGAAGTCGAGTTGGAATTTCGTGAAGAGGTTGTCCATCAAACCAGAAGTAATTGTATGGTTAGTTCATGTCAGGACAACCAATTTTTAGGAGTGTAGGTAGAGGGTGTGTCATCCGCCACATAAGTTATCTTGTCAGCTGGCAACTTTTATAACCACGGCTTCTGTCACACCGTTACGGTTTCAATCGCGTCAGATTGTTTACAGGGAAAAACTATCCTGTAGAGCTCCTAACTATCTACTCCCCCTCCCAACTGTCTACCGTATTTTGTGGTTAAACCCTTAATTCTTGGTTAGTGAGTGTAAATGAATAGTTAATTGTAGTGGAAGTGATCAAAATAGTAAATTAAAGAAACCTATATTTTAG